ATGAAGACGAACTCATGACCACACGTGATATCTACAAGGAACTGAAATTGCGTGGATATCAGTACAGCGGCTGGTTTCGTGGATTGAAGAGTGCATCTATATCGAGCCAAAAAGGACACATCATTTGGAGAAATAATTGGGTAACATTTATGGACTCTATGTTACAGATGAAACTTATCGGATATGATACTAGAGATCTGTATGTTCCTACGAGTATTCAAAAAATAGTGATCAATCCAATGCTTCACGCTTGCAAGCTACAGAATATCACGGATAGTGGAGAAGTTACAACAGACATTGATAAACGTAATTGTTCTTCAATTACTGAAAGTTATTTGTTCAATACATAAATATCGTATAAAAAATCTCTGGCATAAAGTGTACTATTTTATATTATTGCAGCATTACCGATACAAATATACAAAGAAATAGACACGATTAAAGCTGGTGGAATAGAGATACGAGGTCTTAAAATCACTCAAATCAATCGCCGGAATTTAGCCCAAGATGCTGTTCTTGAGGAATATACATTTGTAGCTCATTGTGATCGCGCTAAGATTCCTTTAAACGAAGCAATTCGAATATCAGCACAACTCGCTCTGGAAGATCATCAAATTATCAATGTGAAAGTTGTGGAACTAGTGAAAAATGAAGATGATGTTGCATTAGAATATCTCTCATCTTCGCTGCTGCTTGAGGCATTTGATGATATGCCGTTAATACAAACGAGTATCACTCTATTAACATCACCGAATCGTTTTAGTGCAGAAGATTTATCGCAAAACTTTTCAATCAGAGATTCTGAAAAACCATTTTCAGATGATGGAGCTTTAATTGTTGCTGGATTCAACCTTTTGACCAAACCATACGAATCGTTAGAGCAACTATTGCCATTTTTGAGAGATGGTGGTTTCCTGTTGACGCGTGAAAAATATGGCACGATCGACTATACGAAACATTTACAACAGTACGAATTAAATGTTGTTCTTGAAAAGTGCACTGATGAAGAAATGATTGTGCTTCTGAAGAAGAAAATTTTGATAGAAAAAAGGATTGTTGTCCACATAAATAACAATAACTTCAATTGGCTGGAGAATCTAAAGCCGCTGGTGAACGATGAGAACAAGCTCGATGAGAATAATAGAATCATAATTGTTGGAGAGAGAGATTTTGAATGTGGTTTATTGGGTTTTATTAATTGCTTGAGAAAAGAACCAGGCGGAAAACTTGTAAGAAGTGTGCTCGTTCAAGATAAAGAGGCCCCTAAATTCTGTCTTCAGGATCCCTTCTACTTACAACAATTGCAGAAAGATATGACCATTAATGTATTGCGATCTAATAAAACCTGGGGATCATACAGATATTTAAAATTACCACAACCCGAAGCAAAACCTGTACCTACCGCTCATATTTGTCAAACGGTAAATACAAACTTTTTTTTTAACACATATTGGTCTTCATCCTTATAACATTATCTGTCGTTTGTCTCTTAAATGCATAATTCTACTTATCGGACGGAGGATTGAATACTCCTACAAAGCTTCTTTTTAAATTTCTGTTTTGTATACGTCGGGTCATAATACAAACTTCCTGTTTTCATAGATTCGTGGCGACTTAAGTACATTTTGTTGGATAGAGAATAACCTATCAGACGTGTGTTGTCGTGAGGATTTGGTGCATGTTATTTACTCATCTCTGAATTTTAAAGATATAATG